GGGCGGGGGAGGGGGGGAATGTAGTTCAGGGCGGGGAGGGGGGACGGGGCGGGGAGACAAGGCGGGTGGTGGGGAAGGGCAGGGTTGAGGGCAGGGGAGGGCACGTGAGGCTGTACGGATAGTCGGGGTTTGCTATCGGGGGTTAGGGGCCTAGTGGAAGGTATGTGTATGTGAACGAGGGTGCTGTCGTACACTGATGGGAGGTGGTTGTGAGGGCCCTGCAGACAGGCAGTTGTGAAGTCCGGATGAATCCGGACGCAGGGCTTTAGAGCCAGTAACTAACCAACGACTAATAACTAATCAACTAACTTACATTTAACCTTCAGGAACAGGGCTGAAAAGCTAACAACCCTCTAGCTGGCCCACCCCCTGAAGACATTCCACTGCCCCCGTATGTAATGCATGTATGTAATGCTGTGTACGACAGTCGAGTTCTCCCATGTACGATGTCTCGCCGAAAGACTGGCTGGGCGCGCTCTCGGCCGGTCTGGCTGCCGTACAGAAGTACGGCCGCGCGGACGTCGGCTGTCGTACGATGCTGGATGCGTTGCTGCCGGCGCGGGATGCGCTGGCCACCAGCCTGGAGTCGGGTGAGTATCGGCCTTTTAACCGTACACCATACGCAGTACATCAGACAGTACGGCCCTTTACACGTGTCTCCTAGCGCGGATTAGGGCCGTCTCATTCGTAGGGTGGCGTCCACAAGTTCGTATCGTCACACAACCTCTTCCGCTTCGTACACCTCCGTACATCTCCGTACACCATTGTAACCCCACAGCACGACTCCAATGCCTTGAGCCGGGCTCGTGCCGGCCCCAGCAGCCGGCAGCGGCTAATACTGCTTCACGCACTCCTTGCACACAACCTGACTACTAACGAACGATATGTATGTATGTAATGGTACTGCAGGCGCCGACGCGGCGGCGGCAGCGGCGGCGGCGGCAAGCGCGGCGGCAGCGGGCGCTGAGGCGACCCGTGGCATGGCGGCGACGGCGGGACGAGCGTCGTACGTGCCTGCGGAGGTGTTGGCGGAGGTGGCGGATCCCGGGGCCCGAGCGGTGGCGGTGTGGTTGGGAGCTGTCGCTGAGTCCCTGAGGCCCTGAGGCATGTGTATGTGCGCATGGCTGTATGTATGTGTGTGTGTGTGCATGCATGCATGCATATGTGATGGATTGTGGATGCGGACGTCGTCATTGTCATCATCGTCAACATAATCGTTCTCATCACCAACATCATTGTCAACACCAATCTCTTCGTCGTCATCGTCAACTGCGGCATATCAGGATCCAAACGCATGTTCAGCGCCTGTTATGTTAATGAAAGCCCGTGAAGGCGGGAGGGAGCTGTTTTCAAAGCTCTGCTGGGTGTGTGCTATATGTCAGGTGGTGGGGGACATGGGGAGGGAGTGTGAGTGTATTTCATCTATGTGAGCTGAGGGGTCGTCAAGGCTGATCACTGTCTGCTATCTGCTGCAGACCTCCTGCTGTCTGTCTGTCTGTTTGTTTGTCTGTTTGTTTGCAGGGTGCTTGCATGTGCGGGTGGGTGGGTGGGTGGGTGGCATGCAGGCGGTTTCAA